TCTGATAAAGGGCTGCTGGATGCATCCCAATACTTTCAAGTGTTTTCCTTGCAATCACTAACCTTGTCGTATTTTTGTTTACTTGTTGCAGCAGCCACAACCATGCCTGCCCGCGCAACAGACACGATGGGGTCCGCCAACCACACCAACACAGACGAGATCGTCATCTCCGGTCTCTCGGGTCGCCTGCCCGAGAGTAACTCCATCGAGGAGTTCAAGGACCAGCTCTTCGCCGGAGTCGATCTGGTGACGGCCGACGACCGCCGTTGGCCCACCGGTCTCCATGGCCTCCCCGAGCGCACCGGCAAGCTCAAGGACCTGGAGCATTTCGATGCCCAGTTCTTCGGGGTGCACGCCAAACAGGCCCGCGTCATGGACCCCCAGCTGCGTATGCTGCTGGAGCTCACCTACGAGGCCATCGTGGACGCCGGTTTCAACCCGGCCGAGCTCCGCGGCACCCGCACTGGTGTGTTCATCGGCGTGTCCAGCTCCGAGTCCGACGAGTACTGGACCCAGGACCCCGACCGCGTCAACGGCTACGGTCTCACCGGCTGCTGCCGCGCCATGTTCCCCAACCGTCTGTCCTACACCTTCGACTTCAGCGGCCCCTCCTACGCCATCGACACCGCCTGCTCCTCGAGTATGTTTGCCATGCAGCAGGCCGTGCAGGCCATGCGCGATGGCCAGTGCGACAGTGCCATCGTGGGTGGCTGCAACCTGCTGCTCAAGCCCGCCAGCTCCCTGCAGTTCCACCGTCTCAACATGTTGAGCCCCCAGGGTATGTGCAAGGCCTTCGACTCCTCCGGCAACGGCTACGTTCGCTCTGAGGCCGCCGTCGTCATCCTGCTGCAGAAGGCCTCCTCGGCCAGGCGTGTCTACGCCTCCGTGCTCAACGCCGGCACCAACACCGACGGTAACAAGGAGCAGGGTATCACCTTCCCCGCCGGAGGCATGCAGCAGAAGCTCATCGAGCGCGTGTACCGCGAGGCTGGCGTCAACCCCGCCGACGTCGCCTACGTCGAGGCCCACGGCACCGGCACCAAGGTCGGTGACCCCCAGGAGGTCAACTCCATCGCCGAGGTGTTCTGCAAGAACCGTACCACCCCTCTGCTCATCGGTTCGGTCAAGTCCAACATGGGTCACTCCGAGCCCGCCTCCGGTCTCTGCTCCATCGCCAAGGTCTTGATCGCCATGGAGCGCGGAGAGATTCCCGGCAACCTCCACTTCAAGGAAGCCAACAAGGAAATCGCCGCCCTCAACGATGGCCGCCTGCAGGTCGTGCACAAGAACTGGCCCTGGAACGGAGGCCTGGCCGCCATCAACTCTTTCGGTTTCGGTGGTGCGAACGCTCACGTCATTCTCAAGTCCAACCCCAAGAACAAGACCCAAATCACCCCCATCAACCCCGAGGTGGCCCGCGTCGTAGCCGTGTCCGGCCGCACCGAGGAGGCCGTTGACTTCCTCCTGGACCAGGCCGAGCAGAACCGTGACGAGGAGTTCCTCAACCTGCTCGCCGACATCCACAAGCAGAACATCGCCGGCCACACCTACCGCGGTTACACCCTGGTC